AGGTAAATAGCTACGTGTGCGCGCACGGAACTGCGGAATAAATGACGTATCGATTCGCGGCAGGCCGAGGGACGAGTCCCGTTGTTTTCTGTCGCGAAACAGGCCGGCTCTCTGTGACAAACACGCGGCCGCGGTACGTATCGACGCGATAGGCCAGCCCCGGCTTTCCCCGATGATCTCTGACCAGATACCAGGAAACGCGCGTCGCTCGCCGGTCAAATCGATTACCTCCACTTTCTCGATTTCTTTCCGATTTGATCGTTAACCTCTTGCCACGCGATACCGAGTCAAGCTCGCGAGGAACTTCTCGAAGCAGTTACGAACGAAATATCACTCGATCGTTGTCGGTTCGAATTAACCCTTTGACACTCGGTCAACATTTGATATAACAGAATTACAAAGTGTTACGTATAATGTATCTAGGGGTGAAATATTTCTATAAAATAGCTTCATTTCTTAATTGACGTTTTCTCATTAGTTGGGTTCAAATAATGTCTCGTCAAGTGTCGAATGTTTCTAGTGGAAGGCTTCCGAATTCAAAGGGTTAGATTTTTCTGTTGTCGATTGTTACGTCGTGAAGTACAGGTGGATACGAATTAGGGATTTTTCTGTGGTGTCCCGTAGATTGTCGAGGATGAAGTTTGTAATAGCGATTACGAGTCGGTTTCCGTTGAACGTCGATTCGATGAGGGAAATGTGAAAACAATCGGGTATGTGTGTCTTACAATTAGGAATGTCTACGCTTCCGGTTCCGAGTACGTAGGATACGCGGGCTTTTATGTCTTTAGAGAATGAGTCCTATTTTACTCGGGCATTATTTTCATTGATCGGAGAATGTGAAAGTAATTTGTAAGTGTAATTAGCGATTTTTATGCCGTTAGAAAACGCCCGACGAAAGAAGTCTCAGAATGGGACGTAGAAAATATCCGATTGTTATTTTCACCGATGGCGGAAAGTGAGGATAATTTGTACGTTTCTATATCTCCGGAGGAATGCTTGAGGAATTCATAATTAGACTTTTCTACGTTTCTGCGGAATTCATTTGAGTTCGAGAAATCGAAAGGATTGATTTCCGACAGCAGGTTTGAGAATGGAACGGTTAACTGTCGAACTAGATTGCATTTTTCCCGATTACTATCGAAACAATCGATAAATGCGATAAACAAATATTTTCTACCTCCAAAGTGACGAAATGTAAACTACAACGAAAGATTTCCAAGCGTAGGAACTTGGAAATCAGTTGCACTGACACGTAAAGCACTTCTGTAGCGAAATAATCGATGAAGGGACCAAAAGGGGGATGAAGGCTGACCAAGGAAGCCCGAGGAGCCGCATGCTCGAACGAATCTCACCCCTAACATCAAACGCCGAGAATCCTGAATCATCTTGACCGTCATCAAGAACAAGAAACCGCCTGCAATTAAATTCCATACTGTATTAGATGATATTTACCCAACTAAAACTGTCGATCCAAGAAATGGAATTCCGCTCGAACTCAATCTCAGACATTCCCCTTTAAAACGTTAATTATTCAGGAAAACCTGGAGATCCCGCGCGAACGTTGGGTCGGGGGATCGCTGTTCGCCGTCCAATATCCGAACAAATTAATCCCAACAATTCCGAAGATAACGGCGAGATCCGAGCCAGGCACCTGGAAACCCATTAAACCGCCGAACTTCGCCGATACCGAAAATCCCGACCGGTCGCGGACTCTTCTAATCAGGTCGGTCCGTAAATTCGCGGAGACCGCCAATTAAAGTTAGTCGCCGGAGCCCCCGGGGGCGCGGATGATTGCGCGATAAATTAAAAAGCGAAACGACTCGCGTCGTTTAGAGGGCTAAAGTGGTCTTTAAAGAGTGAAGACGCTGGCTGCGGAGGTCCGCAGCCGGTCTCTTTTCTGGGACGATGTTTCTCGACCAGGAAGATGCTATCTCGTCAACCGGAATGGGGTTTCGTGGCCCGCGTGACGCCACCTGTCCGTCAGGCCGCCGTCGTGCGTGTCCGCCGTTCGAGCCGTTCGCGAACAATCTTCGGAGCTGACTTCTGCTTCGGCCAGCGTTGATATCCTTCTTTTGTTTCAACTACTTCGCACACTACGAACCGTTACATCGATGATTCGCTAAGATCTGATCAAGTATCCTCGATCAAAGGGGAAAGATAACTGAAACTAAGCGGCTTTACTTGGACAGTTGCTTCAACCCCTCGACAACGTCCCCTATGCTACAATTAAAAAGACAGTAAGAATACTGACTCCTCTAGCCATCACACATCACATGAACCCATTACTCGGTTCAAATTCTAAACATTCCATACCGAGCAAAATACCCCAAAGATCTACACGTCTCTTCCTACACCATAAACCACCGTTAATCCTCCGCAAAGGCTAAAAAGCGACTCTCAACCGCGCCACGTCTCAATTCCCTCTTTCCTTATCCTTGCCCAGAAACAATCCAGCAGTGAAGAAACCAAGTAATCCCATAAAACCCATCGAACATGAACACCAACCCCCATCGCCGGATCATAGGAACATTATCAAAATGAACGATCAGCGAGCCTGAATCCCCGGTATCGCCGGTTTCAGCGATATATTCCCAATAAACGTGTTCTGGCGCTATCGGTCCCATTTCCTTCCACTCGTCCGGATACAAAAGAGGAACCGCTCCGTGCTCGAGCGTCCGTCCGGTGATAGCAGCCGGCGGTCCGCGCTCCGATACCCGGCACGACGACCGAACAAAGATAATGGAGCTGCCATCTATTGGGTGACGGGTAAACTATACGCCGGCGCTCGTATTCCGCTACTTTGTATGTATCGCGGCACGCCTGCGCGTGCACCAACCTCCCCGGCCGCCCCACGCATACGATTAAACTGGCCCGGCGCGGAACGGGAGGATCACGCGAACGATATCTCGTTTATCGGGCCGAGCGTGCCCGTATGAGCAGCCCGGCGTGCCTCGTATTTTCCTATTCTTTACGATTCCGACGAGGGACGCGCCTTTTCCACCGAGCAGCGGGGGCCAATCGCCGGCTGAAATCTCCCTGGCCGGCCAGGCCGCGTCACCCTGTCCCTCCCTCGCCCCGTGGAATGCCACCTTCGCCGACCGCACGGAATCGATGGACAACGCGTGTCAATCCGGTTGATAAGCGCGCCCGATATTAGCCCGCTCGATATTTTTAGAATCGCCGGCCGCGCCGGGGAACAGCCGCCGCTACGAGTTAGGGGGTCAGGTAGCCGGGAGATTTAGAGGACGGCTGATAAGGTGGACGTGGCGCTCGCTCGTTGGAATGCCGCGTTTATTCAACTATGTTGCTACGGGCGCTACGGGCTGGACGGCGAGGTATGCTGGAACCTTGGCCGAGGGGTGGCTACCGGCGACGCGCTCGATCTTTCGTTGTGTGCGCGTCTACGGACGGTTGTGGAGCGAACGCGAAGAACGAGGGTTAGAGAACCGTGACGGAAGTTTCTGGATTATTGTGGTAGAGCATGGTCAAATTTGAGAGTCCGGGATTACTCGCGATGAGATTCGATTTCTACCCCTATTTCGTTCGATAGTAAGACTTTGTGTTTCATGAGACTGGTTGACCTAGATGGTTCTAGGGTAGGATTAGAAGTCGAACGTTTGTAAAGGTTCTCCGGTAATTAACCGAACCAGTGCATCGAACCGTCTGAGATCTAATCGGTCGATTACCCAGGCCGCAGCTCGAGGTGTCGGAGTACGAAACAACAGATCTATCGCCGGGATTTGAGATTAGCTGACCCGGCTCGAGCGCATCAGCCGCTTATCGTGTTCCGGGATCTAAATTTCAGCGATACAAGTCGCCCACGGACCTCTGGAAGCGACCGATGCCCCTGCGGGATAAAACGAGAATTCTATTGCGGGACCGTGCGAATTAAACGCGTTAACGTTCCGCGAAATGCTAGGACAGGAACGGGCGGGAGCGAGACGGGCGCGCGGCGTTTGAGCGAGAGGGGGTGAGCGAGGCGAACGACAGAGAGGAAGGAAAGCGAGAACGGCCGTTAGTAGGAGAAGACTGAACGGCCGTGCGGGGGTCATGGAACGGATCAGCTGATCGGAGGCGCACGCCAGAGTTTACGAGTTACGGCCGCCAATAAACCCGGCGGCGTTCGTTGTTGCTCATGCGACGTTTCATGGGTTCCAGGGAGCCGAGAAAAGGACGGCCGAGTGGGGACAAAAGAGAATGACCAAATACGTGAATGAACGATGACTCGACCCGTTTATGCGACGGGGGCCAGTCACCGGCGACGTTTTCAGCCCGAGCCGGGGGCCCGCGGCGCTATTTCCCTTCCGCTCGTCTACTTTCTTCGGGGCCGGTTCCCGCGATCAATTCGGAGTACGATCGACGTCCCGCGGTTACGCGCTTCCCTCTAACCCCGGATAAACACCGCGGAACTCTTCCGCGCGCGGCGACTGTTTATACTCGTCTTTATCCTCCTTTCGAGTGCCTCTCGCGAACGCGGATCTCCCGGGATTCCCCGGAGCGGACGAATTTTTTCGATTACGCCCGACGGATTTATTGCCTGGAAATCTAATTTCATCTGGACGTTAATTCCAACGGGAAGTCGATGGCAATATTCGAGACACACGAGGCGATTAGTAATTTTCCAGAGACACTCTGGAAGAAATACGTGTTCAACCCCTCGCGGACGTGGAGTGAACAACACCGTTCGAATTTCCTGCGCGTAACAACGTTTTATACATGTACAACGGACCAAACCCTTCACCGTATTCCCGTCCGCGAGGGGTTAAATATTTCAGACGGCCGACCTCGAGAAGCCACAATCTCTTCAGGGTTAGCGATACGCGACCTGGCGGAGGCCTCGCGCTTCCAAGGTCGGAAGCCAGGCTCGAGTCGCCATCACCAACCCTGTCGAGGTTGGTCGGTCGACGAACGATTGTATACTGTACCTCTCGTGCCCAGCTGAAAATAAGCTGAAAGTGACCGGCGACCAAGCATTCTGATTTGCCGGAGTTGATGCTTACCTGGAGGTGGATAGGGGCTGGACGTGACAGGCTCCGGCGCCCCGTAATTCCTGAGTCCTCCGTATCCATCGTGCGGGAACGCTCCTTCGGCGGCGACCATTGCGGCAGTGACCCTGCCCCGGTCGTCCGCCGCGGACGGCGTGAGATAAGGAACCCCCGCCTGCGAGTGGGGATGATGATGACCGGCCGTGTCCACGGGGTGATGATGCCTGGCGGTGGTGTACGGCGCGTAGTTGCACCAGCTCTGCGAGAAGCTCTGATGACAGGAGGACACGGCCGGGTCCGCGGCGCCGGTCGCCACGGAGGATGAGCCGGCGCCGGTCGACGAGCTGGTGGTGGATACCCCGGCCGAGTTGTAGGACTTGTAGTCGGAGGCCGAACCGCCGGACGCCGCGGAGCCAGCGGTCGCCGCGGCTGGCGACCAGAAGCTCAGCGAGCCAGCCTTCCGGTTGTCCCTGGAGGAACCGGAAGTGGAGGTCGGGTCCGCCGCCAGGTTGTAGTAGGTCGGGGGATTGTTGCCCCCGTATGTCTGATGGTGGTTCAACGAGTCACCAGCCGCAGCAGCAGCCGCAGCCGCCGCGGACGAGTAGTGCGAGTCCTGGGGATGATGCGGGCTGTAGCTCCAGCCGCCTTGGGATCCGGCCGACGACGAGTGGGAATGACGAATAACGCCCGCTGGCCCAGCGCCGGCACCGGCGGACGACTCGACGCAGCCGACCTCGCCGTACGAGGAAGCGGCCGGCGTGGCGGTCAGCCTTTTCGCGGGTATATGGAGCGGACCCGGCGCGCTGTTGCTCGCGACCGAGGAGGCGCTCGGCGAGGTCGAGCTGGCGCTGGCTGTTGGTGCCGGTGGCGCGGTGGTTGCCGAGGAAGCTGGCGCGGCGGGCGACGTCGGTGTTGTCGCTTGCTGATGAGAGCCTGGCGTCGGGGTC